TGCCTCAGGAATCTGTCTTAAGTCTTACTATTTTCTTTTGTGTAATATATCAATGACATTTATGCAAAACATCGTTCTTTATCGCGTCTATTTGTGGACGACACATCATAATCACACGCCTCAAAATGACTACACAATATTGAGCATATAATAAATTCATATATTAACTCTTCTTACAAAATTGAAATGGTCCAAAGACGGGGTAGTAACTTTAACCCTTAGTGAATTGAAATCTTGATCTTTATCAAACTTCAACAACAACGTTCCTATTGAACTAACATCGACACAAACACGTCGGAGAATCTTTTGAGGAACGACGTACAAACCATGGAGACAAGACTGATAAAACATATCAAAACACAAGGTTACTCTCCGAAACTGTAGCTTTCACATAGAAAACGTAAAACAACCCATTTGACATATATAAGACCGCCGTGGAGTAGGGGGTTATGCAGTGTTAGAAATCTAACATTGCATATTGAACTATTTTCAATAAAATAGCATGCCTAAACGAAAAAGGATGTAGGATGCAATTCTGTAACGTTCCGATATGCATTAAAACTCCATCTCGACAAGTTAAAAGCTGAACGGTAGTCATGCGGGTTATTTGTATTTACAGTAACTATATGCTACACCTTGGAATTGACCTTAAGAATAAAAAGCGTGACAGGTGAGAAATGTTCGACTAAGTATGTATGACAGAAGTTGAATGTCAAGTATAAACTTTCATTGATGAGTACTTAAAAAGGCCTATAGTTAGTGGAGTTTGAAATACTTGCTTTATACCGGGATGATGAGTGGGTCTGGGACTTTTTATCTTTCCATGACTCATCTCCTAAGTTTGTTTAACTGAATTGTTATTTACGATTTAAGTTCTAGTCAGAATCATTAAAAGATATTAGTATTATTTGTACAATATTTTACGTTCCAATCAAAAAGAGAGCTAAACTTCATTTTCATAACGCCACTACAATATTAATCGTTTAAAAGAATACTACAGGTTACTTAAATTTGCGCACACTTTAATACTCTGAAACGACCTTTTGTACTTAGTCGGGAGAAATGTATTCTCGTTACCCTCCTCGAGTATGTTTTTTGTTATATATCTTATCCTAACGCACGCATATTTCAAACATTATCGAATTTAACAGACTAGCAAATTAATGAACGAAGTGTGGCAAACACGATTTATGCATTTAAATTACCTTAAATATGTACATTCACAGAAGATATTAGTACGCAATAGACAATTAACGCATATAGACGAGAAAATAAAGTGCACGTGAGTATTGAAACCATAGTTGTGTGCCGTATTATTTGATGCGCGCCTCGGGGACAAGAGAATGACCAGCTGTCGGTGTTGCACATTCCTAAATATCGTAACACCATATCGTAATAATGTACAAATGTCTGCCATGTACACATTTATCGCCCTTTCTCGGCACTCTTTGTCACACGTTACGGAATGTTGAATGCTGAGGCAGCGATTTGTGAATGATTAGAAAATCTCCTGACAGTTCTCTTAACTTACTATGTCAGTGGGATAATGCTGTGAATTAACAGACTGCCGACAAATTACAGGACTTACATTTCGTTACGCATGAACCTCTATATAAAAACTCTAAATCGATGGATGCTTGCAACTTTCACGAAGCTCATGACTTCCACACATTTTTTCCGATTCTTTGGACACTTTGTCAGACCTTTTGTAACGTTTCTCGTTCAGTTTACCTCTATTATTCAAATAAGAATACTATCAGAAGAAGATATTATTTTCAAAAAAAATCGGGAACACACGGTGTTAACTTTAAAACTCGCAGTGTGACTTTGTTATGATTCTAAATAACAAGTACAAGTTCTCTCTTTATAAACGTTTCTCAAAAGTTAGAGTAAAACACAGATGTTGTTGTATCTAAATGGTGAATGAATGAAATATACATAATTGTGTATGGAGTGAACGAAATGTTTCCAATGATTGACTTTTTATCGCTAATTGATAAAGTTTTATAACTAAATGATTGCTTTTGTAATGGAAATATTGTCTCTCAACAGTTTCCGTAAGTTAAAATCCAGAAATTAGTTATTGAGTATATTTCAGTTCCGCATGGGTTATCGTTCCTGATTACGAAACTCTGCATTCCTAAGTGACAACTTGTAAACTCGCACGTAACGATATATGACGTGAGTAACAGGAGGTCATCGTTAATTGCTCTTTATCTGGGTCAATGTGCTTTCAGTGTGGGCAGTGATGGTCACAACGAACTTTTTGCTCTACATCCAAAAGGTTCGAGAATCGCAATCCATCACCCACTCCAGCGTGACACAGTTATTGTTGCTATATTTAGCACCAAAGAAGACAGTACATCTGAACAATTACGTACCTAAACGTGATTAGTGATGTGACATGCGTACGAATATAGGTGAATGATACACATGTCGGAGTGTACATAGTTGTAAGTTTGGAGATGTGTTTCAATGTCGTTTTACTGATTATAATTATTCTTTCATCTACTTTTGATAGTTGTTTAGATATTTTTATCAAACAGTATAGTATAATTATCAAACAGTATAATGCGATTGAGTGTCATTAACGTATTCCATGACGAGATAAATATTCATACTTCAAATAGCAAAAATGTTTTGCAGGTACTGTGAGTAAAATACATGTTTCAAGCTTTTGGCTCAGCATTTCCGAAATTCCTAGTGTTTCTTTGGTTTCACAAACAGAGCGATCATGTAGTGTGAAGTTTCTTTGATATCTCAACCTTGTTCAACAATCTCGTTCATAAAAATACATCAGAAACACGCTTGCGTTAAATAACGTGAAACGTCACCTGAAAATATAACGTTGACATTTATGAAGTATTCCTAAAGTAATTGGCCAGCCACCTAAACACACGGTACGTAAATAATCGTTAGAGGCTGACCACTTCACTAACTCTTCTTCAGCCAGACTGACCATTGTCCGGTGCCTGGGGGCATCCAACTCCTGTTGGCGTTTGTCAACAGCGGCCTCTGACATAAGTGTTACCGCAAAGACTGATACACATAAGTTGGCGTCCCCGAGGCGCTTAGCACAACAGAGACAGACCAGACGTTTTAACGCGGTAGAGCACTACAACTTGTCGGGTTACAAATGAAGCATACGTTCAGCACATGTTAGCATCAATCGGCTTCGAACGCGTATCAAACCGTTTTTGGTTCCGTTCATTGGTTTGTATCAATATGAATCCGGAAATGAATTCACACGCGTACATGTAAGTTACACAGGGTCACGGAACTGACTTCATCGAATAGTTCTTGTATGCTTTAGGGAATGACGTACCGCTGTAAGCATATCGTAGACCTCCGTACACCTTAATGTTTAATAGACAGGGTTCCAAAAGGAGAAATATTTTTAGCTGTTAACAATACTGGTCTTCTCAAAAGCATGGCAACCTGCAGGTGTTAGTGTAATGTTGTCTTCATACTTGTGCGTTTATTATTCCTAATTTTTAATTTTGATGTATGATTACTATAAATTACAATAAGCCGGGTTTTATATCTCTGTTGACATAACCAGTTGATAGTTGACATCAAACAGAATTTGCCGTGACAATTTAACTGTCAGATGCAAACAGCGAAAGCGGTGAATCGACGCGAAACAGTCAGGCAATGTCGAACTGGAGAAAAGGGGTAAAAGTTTAATAAACGACGAGGAACGTACATTACATTTAGGTTAATTGAATTCTATCCCAAACGACATGATTTGTAAGAATGCATTTGAGGGCCTTTTCCATGTTAAGAGGACGTTAAACTACAAACAAACAAAAAGGCCTAATACCTAAGGTTGTTTTGGACCCAAGTGGGCTAAGCCAATAAACAGAGCTCAGAATGCACAGTTTCGGAGCTTTATGACAAATAAATCACAAGAAACCAAGAATAGTATGTGTTTCTTTCAGCGTGTACTAAATTCATTACATGTAATGTGCATAAAATATATATGTAATTTGACCTTGTTTTTTGTTGTTGTAAAAGTAAAACAACTACCGACACTCAGTACTTAAGTATTTCGGCCAGGCTCAACTGGACCCTATGATATAAGCACGTGCCGATTTTTCAAGTGGCCAGCCTTCGATCAGGTCTGTGTTTGCCATTTTGTTTCAGATTGGAAACCATTTTGTTTCAGATCTGGTTGAGGGGCCCATTGAGCCTGAGTCTTTTCTGCGGGAACTATCATAACTGTTTTATCTGGTGCAGATTTTTTCTCTCTATATAGTTGCACAAATATTCGGTTATACTACGTCATGCGTTATTAAAATCGTCGCACTGTTATTTTATAGTTACAATTGATTGTTTTTCCTTTATCAGAACAATTAACACCATCCCTCAAAAATGATTGTTGTTCTTCTGTGCGCATTGATACATACGGAGCAGTCACAATAATCCTTCCGCGGACTATCATTTAAATGTAAATACTTTCTGTTTTCCCCCGCAATATCTTCGTTAAAACAACAAGTAAGATTTAAGACTATACAAAATATTTAACAATATGTGCAAGATTGAAATCGGTTGTGTCAGTCGGCAAAATAATGGTTCTCATACATTGCTCTTGAATATTTGAAGTGAACAAAAACGAAACGGATCTTGATGAAGGGAACCATTTCATATATTTATCAAATTTCTACTTTGTTTAGGTTATTGGGAGGTACCTGCTTTTGATATCGAATTATTCAATTAACAGCTCCCGATAACTGAAACAAACTGGAAGATCAACTGTTAACATTTTACGGTTGTATGGAACATTAAACCGCCTCTACAACTATGAAAGCATTTTAGAACATTTTCAATAGCGCGCGGTTCTTTGTTACTTACAGCTCCAGGTACATTGTAAAAACTATGAGACCGAACAAACGGTAGCTCGCATGCCTATACGCATGCGCGATTTTAACAGCTGAATTATCTGCTACTGTAATACAGATGTTGTGGCTGAATATATAAGTGGCCTGGCGAGTCGGGCCGGACTGTCAGTTGGTCGCACGCTCCACCGTCAACCAGCCGATCAAAATGAAAACAATCGCCATCATCGGAGGCGGGTGTAGCGGCCTGACCGCTATAAAGTGTTGTTTAGACGAAGGACTGACCCCTGTCTGTTTTGAAAGAGAAAATGACATCGGTGGATTATGGAATTACAAAGAAAATTCAAAAGTAGGGACCGGCAGTGTGTATCGCTCTTGTGTGATGAATACTAGTAAAGAAATGATGGCGTTTAGTGACTTTCCCCCACCAGACGACTTCCCAGTGTTTCTACCTCATAGACAGGTCAATCAATATTTTCAACTTTACGCGGACAATTTCGATTTGCGGAAATATATAAAGTTCCGAACAGACGTCACTCGGATTGTCCCGTCTCCGGATTACGACCATTCCGGTTGTTGGGACGTGACGTATTGTTCATGTTCCGGATCAGACCCTGGGAGGGTCACTCGGAGGTTTGACGGAGTCCTCATTTGTTCCGGACATCACACTTTCCCTGTTACCCCGGAGTTTGAGGGTCAAGACGGGTTCCAAGGAAAGATCATGCATACACACAGTTACCGCTCCAACAAGGAGCTTGCAGATCAAAAGGTGCTTGTGGTCGGTAAGTTTTGTTATATTCACTTATTAATTAGAATAAGATCAAAATGTTTCACATATTTCATTAACAAAAAAACAAGCTATCCACACACACAAAATGTACTCTACGGCTAGGTATTATCTTAATTATGTATCACAATACATACATATACTAATCGGCCAATATAATCTTTATAATGTATAATAATACATACATATACTATACGGCTAGATATTATCTATATAACGTATTACAATACTTACACATATACCGCTAGGTATTAGCTTTATAGTGTATTACAATACATACATATACTATACGGCAAGATATTATCTATATAACGTATTACAATACTTACACATACTGTACAGCTAGGTATTATTTTTATAATGTATAGCAATGCATACACACACAATACGGCTACGCATACTCTTTTTAATGTATTCATAATACATGCATATACTTTTCGGCTTGGTATTATCTTTATAATGTATTCAATACATACACATAATCTATGGCTAAGTGTTATCTATATAATGTATAACAATATATATACGTATTCTAGCAAATGCAAACACAGGATTTCTTTCCGTCAATAAATGTCGTGTCAGAAATGATATAAAATTTATTTTCTGTCAGTTTAAACTTGTCCTTTTTGTTAATGTGGATATGTCATTTAAATCCCTCCCTTTCTCTAACCATGTATCATCCACCATTTTTTAATATGTGAAATGATGAAAGAAAATCAACAAATCATTCGGTGAATTAACGAGAAACCAGATTCTGTCATTGGAAGTATACGTACGACCATTTCACACGGAGGTAATACAAATAGCTGACCTGACAACACGGTCACATACTATTGTATAGACATATCAAGCGCGTACCTTCATTGTATTTGCATCGGGGTTTGTGTTTACTTTACAAGACATTATCATAGTACACAATATACAATATGTCAGTGAAGTTCACGTTCATTTGTAATGTAAATAATGCAGCATGATTCTCGGACTATTTCGGCCGTACTGATGTAGATCTAGTTGTGAGTATGTGCCAGGTGTTGGAAATAATCGTACGACATAAATAACACCCAGACGAATCTCGTTTTCCGTTTTTTCAGTAGAATCATTGAGGGGTAGGTGTTATTACCAGTGACGTCCGTGTCACGTCAGTTTTGAGATGCGCTCTTACATGTACTCACGCTAGGAATATTTTGAGGATATGTGTAGCTTGCAATTCATTTTGATAAATTATTCAACTAATCATTTCAGTTTCAAAGGACCATTTTTAGCAACTGATCATGTCTTTGTGCATCCTCGAAATATCATTCGTTCGCTTACTTGTAGAGAACGTAAGCCGTAAGTGAGTGTAACCACTGTTATTCATATAATGGTCTATGTGTGATTTAAAATAACAGTTGTACTATTTGTATAAGTAAAGAAATAAAACCAACTACACGTTAATTCAAAATTTACCCTCGACGTATGATCGATGCTACCCCGTATACCCATGTGAGGTCGTGACTGTGTTTACGTGGGGGAGTGCCTCCGAAGCCGGACAGTGCTATCTTACCTGAGTGCGCGTGTGTTTAATGTTCCGAAGTTGTACAATTTTCTGCAAAATGTTTTCACTCGGGATCAAAGTATGTCGTTCAAGGGTTCACAGATATGCATTCTTGTTGTATTTTAAAGGAGGCTTTTGAACAAAAAATATCTTACATTACTGTACAGACAGTGTAACGTTATTGAATGATGGTGTTTTATTTAAAAAGAAGGACCCTGACCCCTTATTTCAATAATGATGTTGCAATGATTCCTAATCTTGGTTTTAGTTCTTGTATTTTAATAAATGTAGGCATTGTTTCCCGACACAGATATCTTCTCTTTTGTGAATTTGTAATACCGAATGCTATGACAACAGCCACAGGATTAGATAGCGCACGGTGGCATTGCTTTTAACTTCTATTTTTTATGTAAAGGTTGTGTGTTTAAAAGCACTGTCTGACTACCAACAATTGAAATCGAACCTAAAGAGAATTACACTTTAAACACCTCAACGTCGAGCTTGCCTGCCAATATTTACGTATTTAAACGGAATTGCGAACTATTTTTAGTTTAAATGACTCCTTAATAGAGCAACAAGAATCTTCAGATGTGAAACAAATTCGTTATAGCTCTATTTTGTAATAAATATTAATTCATGTGATCACTTACGCAAGGAATGATGTAGGTAAAACCATTTTTGAGGAGGTCTGCCAGCTTCACAACAATTTCCATGCAATAAAGTATAATCTGTTCATACTTTATGTGTTTCGGAATTAACAGGATTATCATAAAAGTCCTCGATAACGTTAAGGCTGAAAATGAAACAACATAGGAACAATAAACGTATACTACCGCTCCTAGCATTGCTGCGTTCTGCTTTGGTTTCCCAGGTTACAGGCGAAGTGAATAGTCTAGATTTACGCGTTGGTTTGACTTGGGTCTGCGCGAGGAATTAAATGTAGTAAATACTGTTTTGCACGGTTAAAGTTTAAACGCTCCAACATGAAACAATAAAACAAATTCCGATTTCTTTTCTTTAGGTCTATGCATCTCTTTACTGTGCGATGCACATTGAAATTGGTAGATACTCCTTAATGAATTTGTTCATGCTTCCTCATGAAAAATAGAATATTCCTCGAAATATAGGTGTATTTATTTCAGGAGACGACATCAGTAGACCGACTGTAATGAGTAGATTGGCTGTTTTTCTCATATCTTTTATCTAATACTCTATTTCAGGGATAGGGAACTCCGGGGCGGATATTGCTGTCGACATAAGCCATGCTGCCTCACAGGTACGTGAAGTTTTACTTACTTCGGCCTTAACAAATTAGGCTCGCTTTGAATCATTAATGAAAATAATCATATATTTCCACTAAGAATTCCGGAGCTTTTTCTGTAAATGACTTACAAGTTTATGCCAATAATAAGTATTTCAAATTAAACTGTAAATCGTTGGGATCTCTAGGTAAGAATCTTAATGAAACTTATATGATATCTCTACAAAGAATTCTGAAGCTTTTTATGCAAATAACAATTATTGTGTAACACAAAAGTATTGCCATATCATTTTGTGAATGATCAAAAGAATTTGATCATAACGGAGACAAGGATCAGTCCTCCTACGTTTTGGACCCGGTATTTCTAGATTTGAAGTAACTCCATTTATTCGACATCGTCCTGTTTATCACGTCTGCAGAGTTATATGAAAAATGAAGTTTTTGCTAGGCTTTGAGGGATCTGTACTGTTTCGGCTCAGAAAATAAGATGTCCTGCAAAGCTTACATTTTGGTGTACCGAATATTATTATCTTTAAACGGCATAAAGTACATATTGTTAACGGTATATTGATTTAAACATATCATTTAGAGTTATGTCTTTTATGTTAAGTAATTCGATTATAAGGATATATATCCAACATACAACTCGTATGGAATGTCCTTAGTACTTTTTATTTTGGAATCTTTTCACTGTTTTTAAAAAACTTTTTAATAGACATGTTAGGCGTTTACACACTCTTACAGTAATGTAAACCATACCCGCCCTCCTAAATACATTTAGGGTCAATGCTCTTATCATTTTCATTATTTGAACAAGAGAAAATACAACAAGCTATGGCTTCAAAAACTATTTTGATTTCATTCATTCGTGCTTTCTCGTCTCATTTTTAAGTATTCTTATAAGTATAAGTGGGGTTTTCACTATATAAATTAATTCAAAATACTGTACTGAGAACGTGAAATTTTAGCGTGCGGAAATGTTCGCGTCGTGACCCTTAAAGCTGATCGCGATGTGGAGTTTTCACATTGACAATGGTTATATTCTTTATATCTTTATTCTAGATCATCTTTAAATAACTATTCGCGTGTCGATATTTTTGAAATAGTTTATTCAATACGGAAAACGCCATATTTACTCAATACGGAAAATGTTCACTTTTACAGTTACCGCAATATGTTTTGTCCTATGTAAATGATCTGTTTCGGATTCCTGTCTTGCCGTGCATTTCCCCCACTTGTTTTACACACTAATATACGGTAATTGATAGACCTGTTCATAGGACTGTGTTTGTTGTTATCCTATTACTTTATATGTATTATAATATATCTATATCTATATGTATCGATGACACCGACTTAGCATTTCGGATAACCTCTAACACACCGACTTGATATTTAGGATACCCTCTAAAACACATCAAATTGTATTAAGAGGAAATGTCTGAATTTGTATTACGGAATTGATCAATAGTTCCTTTGGTTTAAAGCTGCATATACTAGGGGAGTAATAAATTATTTTTTAGTTTATTCTTTTCAATTTTGCAGGTGTATCTAAGCACGCGCAGAGGTGCGTGGATCATTAACCGGAAGGGGTTCTGGGGACTTCCGGCGGATGCCATGGCCAACAGTAGATTTGCATTCATGTTACCAAAGAGCGTCCTCCAGTGGGGAGTTGAGAAAATGTCAAATTTCAACTTTGACCACAACAAATTTGGGATCAGGCCAGCTAACAGGTAACACTGACTGCACGAGGGGGTTATATTAGTGTCGGTGGTACTTACGTCACAGTTGTGAGCGAATTTCGTTTAATGATAGTATTTTGTTGTCTAGAGATGAAAGCATCTGGAGAATTTATTTTATATGTATAATTCGAACATGTTTATATGAATTTCTAGTTTAAAGGTAAGTCCGTGATGTTTTCTTTTATAAGTCAACTACAAAATCAATTCAACTCGAACTTGTAGTATATCAATAGGTACAGTAGCCCGAGTTTCCTCTGGCCCTGATACCAGACATCTATCTGTCCAAATGTCAAAGTCTGGTGTCAGGGCCAGAGGAAACTCGGGCTAATCAACAGGTACAGTAGCCCAGGTTTCCACTGGCCCTGACACCAGACATCTCTATCTGTCCAAATGTCAAAGTCTGGGGCCGTATTCTTGAAACCGTTCTCATGCTCAAGCATGGATTTTGTGCTCAAGTCTAATTTCTTGTGTCAGTTATAAATTATTTAAAAAATCTTTGTTTTGTTGAAGTTTTGGACAAAAATTGAAGAAACTTGAAGCCGACTACTGTTTTCAATATTTGAATTTGACTTTTTGATCGTTGACATGATTTAAGTGGGTTACAAGAAAGCTGGCTTGCTTGAGCACAGAATCCATGCTTGAACATGAGAACGGTTTCATGAATACGGGCCCTGGTGTAAAGAAACAGATGGACCTGTTGTTTGAACTGTATACTTATATAGATATCCTACAAAGGCAACCAGTTCACACAAATTGTGAATCGACGTTTTTATTGTATAAGAATGGATGCCTTTTCTCGCTGCAGGGCCCTGCAGTCACATCCCACCATAAATGATGAACTTCCGCTTCGTCTGTTAACCGGAAGTATCAAGATCAAACCAAATGTCCGACATTTCTCACACGAAAAAGTCTCGTTTGAAGACGGGAGTTTAGAGGAGATCGATACTGTAATTTTTGCCACTGGTTACAATTACACGATTCCAATGGTGGACGAATCTATTACGAGGGTGAAAGATAACGAAACCTGTCTCTACAAGTTCATGTACCCACCCCATTTGAAACACCCTACTCTAGGCATTATTGGACTGGTCCAGGCCATCGGAGCTGTGATGCCGATATCGGAAATACAGTGCCGATGGTACACTAGAGTCATCAAGGGTGAATTTCTATTGATTGTTTTAGGGGAAAAGAACGAACAAAATGTTAGAAACAGTCACATTGTCTATGTATATTGACATTAGTGATATTACATATATTTATATATATTAAAAGGATAACAGGAAATGATATCTTATCTCAAACCCCTCTATATTATGATCAATAGTTCATGGCATTGGTACAATTAACAAAACATGTCATTTTATTTTTTTCAATTCGAAAAGAAATTATTTATAGAAAATATGAAAGGAATATTAAAAAACCCTAAGTGTATTTATTTTATATTTAGGATTGTGTAAACTTCCATCGGAGTCGGAAATGATGGCAGACATTGAACTGAAAAGAGAGACGGTTGCCAATGGTTACTATACCGCCAAACGTCACACTATCCAGGTACGTCACGGATACCTTGAGATGTGTAACATGAGTCAGTTATGGATGGTAAAACGATCAGATACAATGTGCACAGAGTCGCAGTGACAAAGACGACATGTGATTGTGACGTCAAAGTATGTGCAGTAGTCCCGACAAACGTGGGTTTTTACGCAATTCGTGCATATTCGTGAAAGAGAATCAGCTGAACGTTCGATAGTTTTCAATAGCATATATAGATAAACCCATGTGTTCAATATTTTTCTTCCTGTTTTCAGTCGTGCAGGTTACACATTCATGTAGTAGTCGATATTCAATGGAAACCAATAAAAGTGCCTCAATATACATGAATGTAATGTTGATTTGTTCATGTTCTTTAAAATACAGAAATTTCTTATATTTTCTATTAATTTTTCCAGACTTTTTGGATCGACTACATGGATGATGTTGCTGAACAATTTGGAGCAAAACCCAACTTATGGCGGACGTTCTTTGAGGACCCGTACCTTGCCCTGAACTGTGTGTTCGGGCCCTGTTTACCTGCTCAGTACCGTTTGGAGGGACCAGGGAAATGGAACGGCGCCAAATCGTCTATCATCAACGCCATGAATCGTTACAGCGCTTCCATGCATACCAAAGTCATGCCAAAGAACCACAACTCGTCCGGCTCCCAAAACATCAACGTTAATTCGGCTTTGACAGACAAAATGAATGTTGACTCTTCTTTGTCTTCAGGAATCAGGAACCGCATTTCTGCTTTTCTGCTTAACAAGAACGACAACTCATCTCTGAAGGCGACGTTTCCGAACAAAGACATTGTTGCGTCATTTCCTGCCTTTTTGAAATCCTTCTACACCCTTTTTATTGTCATGTTTCTATTCTTCTGTATGTGTCTTGTTTAAACTTTCACGTGATTGTACAGATATTCCTAATTGATCACCAAAGGTGTTCCGAATGATAATCACTCAAACATATCTGAGTGGAAGAAACTGTCCCATATTTGATTTCGTTACAAACTATCATTGCTTTTCATTACTCGATGGATACCTATACTTCAGTGTAAATGATAGTTTTAATTCAATGTCCATCTTCTTGTCCGTCTGTCTATTCCATCTTTGCGTATTGCAGAGTTATCTTCTCTTGAGAGCAGATATTGATTGTTACGTCATTTGTTTGTGAGAGTAACGTCATCAATTTTTGAGAAAACGACGTAATTTTCTCACACAACCCAATGACGTAACAATCAATACTTGCTCTCAAGAAAAGATAACTCTGCAATACGCAAAGACGGAATATGTCCTTCGGGAAACGTTTGTATTTAAATTGTAGTTTCTGAGCAATAAAATTGCAAATTCTTAGAATTGTTTACGGTAGATTAAATATTTTTGTGAGTTATAAAAAGAAGCATTATTCATATCGCACCAAGTCAACTATTTTGCAGACATATATTCAGCCATGTCACGATCTACCCTGTTATTGTTTATTTGTTATAAATCTGACGGTATAATAGTAAAACAAAAATATAATTTTCGTATCAATTAACGGATTTACAGTATTGTTTATATGCATTCATTATTTGTTCCTTGTTGCTGTCCAGCAGAAGGTTTTCGTGGTTATTAAGTTTCCTTTTTTTCTCGAACTTTGAGAGAATATGTGTCGTTTTTACATTTTCTCGAGCTTTTATAGAATATTTTAAAGCTTTAACAGAATGACATGGTGGAGACTTCGTTTTCCATTTTTGTATTGCGAACTCTTAAAAAACTTTCTCGAATGTTTTATATTTTGGATATAATTTGCCATTCTATTGAACTTTGGAATGTACAAAAATGCACAAAACCCCCCATTAAAATCACTAATGTTTGACATATTATCATTATTATAGTTTGAGGTACATATACATTCCTTTAAATGATAATATATATTGTTAACGTTAGTAAAGCTGCAGCCAAGACTTACTCTATGATGAGTAATAAAGCATCTCGGGTAATATTTGTCTAAGCAACATGGTTTCATATCCTCATAAATGTGAAAATATTTGCAGTAAAACTAACAACTGTTTTTCATCTTTTGTTTTTTCTGTGATACATTATCACAAGAACATTATACATTAATTATACATTATACACAAACCACACACAGCCATTGTTTCGGGAACGAAGATTGCAACAGTTCCCAGATGGAAAACATTCACGTGGAAGAGTTCTTGGGATTTAGATTCGACACATGTTTAGTAGTCTGGTATATTAAGGGGCTGTACAAAAGAAATGTAAATATATTTTTACAAGTTAACCTTTCAGTAATCGATAAATGTGATTTTAAATCGATATTTCACTGGTTCTTTCATAAATATTTCAATATTATTATTGTACAAGGTAAATAATATCTAGTTGAAAAATATGTACTCTCGTAAAGGTATATAGCTTGTAAGTTGATAGAAAAGTCACTTATTTAATTAGAACAAATTTGATTGTTTTAATAATAATCTTCAACGAACATTGTAAAAAACTGAGACGTTTTCTTCGCTTTTGAAAAAGGCATTTTTTCTATGAGAGTTGAAACAGAAAGATCTTAGTTTTATTTTGTCCAGATTGTATACCTGATTATATATCTCACGTATCGGAGTCTGCGTTAACGAAAATCCACTGTACTTATTCCGTATAGCGCCGTACATTATGTTACGTATACCTTGTGTGTTAAACGTTGTATTCTATATTGTGCCATATCAATATTAAACTGTTATTGAATATCAATTGTTTGTTCCTTTCGTTATTTTTTTCCCTTTTATCTTCGAAGCACGAAACTTAATTGATAATACTTAGAACAGACACAACAGTAACGTTATCATTGATAAGCAGTACTGACTCCATGTGCGTGGAAAAGTGTCTCACTTGAATATTGGTATTATTCATTATCAAAGAATAAATAACGGATATCATAATTCAACTTATATCTCCGTCCAATTCAAACCCTATATTGATAGTGATAACGCCTTATAGTTAGAATATATTGCCACCAACGTTTTACTCGGGCAATACACATTTCTGTTGTTGTTAACAGTGTTTCCTTTAAGTGTTCAGTAAAGCCTGATCCCGACTATAATTTGTTGTAATTATCAAAACTTTGAATGACATAGAAAATAACTTCCAATATTAGTACTAGGACTGATGTTACTTTATGGACGAACTGATGAACATTTATGAACGGACTGATATCACATTATGGACGGATTGATGAAATTTTATGGACGGAATTATGTTACTTTATTGACGAACTGATGCAACTTTATGGACGAACTGATATTTCTTAATTGAAGGACTGATGCCACTTTGTAAACGGACTGATGTTACTTTATGGACGGATTGATGTTACTTTATGGACGGACTGATGTTACTTTATAGACGAACTGATGTTACTTGTTGGACGGACTGATGTTACTTTATGGACGGACTGATGTTTCTTTATGGACGGACTTATGTTACTTTATGGACGGACTGATGTTTCTTTATGGACGGACTGATGTTACTTTATGGACGGACTGATGTTACTTTATGGACGGATTGATGTTACTTTATGGACGGACTTATGTTACTTTATGGACGGACTGATGTTACTTTATGGACGGACTGATGTTACTTTATAGACGAACTGATGTTACCTGTTGGACGGACTGATGTTACTTTATGGACGGACTGATGTTTCTTTATGGACGAACTTATGTTACTTTATGGACGAACTTATGTTACTTTATGGACGGATTGATGTTACTTTATGGACGGACTTATGTTACTTTATGGACGGACTGATGTTACTTTATGGACGGACTGATGTTACTTTATGGACGGACTGGTGTTTATTCATGGACGGACTGATGTTTCTTTATGGACGGACTTATGTTACTTTATGGACGTATTGATGTTACTTTATGGACGGACTTATGTTACCTTATGGACGGACTGATGTTTCTTTATGGACGGATTGATGTTACTTTATGGACGGACTGATGTTACTTTATGGACGGACTGGTGTTTATTCATGACGGACTGATGTTTCTTTATGGACGGACTTATGTTACCTTATGGACGGACTGATGTTTCTTTATGGACGAACTTATGTTACTTTATGGACGGATTGATGTTACTTTATGGACGGACTGATGTTACTTTATGGACGGACTGATGTTACTTTATGGACGGACTGATGTTACTTTATGGACGGATTGATGTTACTTTATGGACGGACTGATGTTTTTCGTTCCATTGATTCGGTTCATTGGAGTAAGGACTTACGCAACTAAATCATTTACAAGACCCATACCTCCTAAACAAGTTGTGTGAGTACATACATTGTAGTGGAAACGGTCTAAAATATACTATCGGTTGATGAGCATACTGACTGCTTGACTGAGTCAAGGTAGACCATTACTCACATACAAACCACCTGCTGCTGATTAGCCCACGTATTTGGTAACGTATCAATGTACAAAAGGATTGTTGAATGAGTATCCTTCTGGTTCGGTTTTTAAGTGATGAATCGGTTGAGCACGTGTAACATGACGAAGCCTTGACCGTGTGATCGGGTCAATAAGAAATAGCATATACTGTAGATGTCGTCACACAATTGTATCTCGTTCGCTGAAAAATTTGCATAGCTCCACCCATTTGTAGTGTTGTCAATGTCATGGAATCTTTTTACGTTCTATGGTCATGTTTTAAATGCTAACTCTAGTTTACGGGAATAATGAGCATTGGATGATTGTCGGTGTAGACTCTGTGTCGTACTATTCGTATTCTTTATGTATATACCAATGTTATGTATAATGTACGTACATTGTAAGTAGCTAATGTTTAACAATACAGGAAATATAAATGAACTTGTATTTTACATAGGTTTATTATTACGACACAAACACAAATGATATCAACAACCAGCGTAAGGCCCAAGTTCTATTTAACCAGCCCTCAGTACACCGCACTACATGTATGTATAAAACTAGCTGCCATATGATCAAAAGAGAAGTTGCTATTCAATTTGTATATTGTTGAGAAATCTGTCTTCAAAATCTAATTTCGTCATGGTGGAATAACAAACTGTCTCGTAATTATTGTGATCGAAATGGTGACCCTGAAAATTGGCGCTAGTGATCAAAACCTGAGCACTGTTGGCCTTGACACCTGCTGCGAACTTCCCGTGAAACGTCGACTTAGGGTTGGTCAATTTACTAATCACGTGCTCTTTCACGTAGCTGCGATATTTCGGCGAGAATGCGTCTAGGAAAGCCCTTATAAGGGCGCCATAAGCTTCCGGGTCATCAGGTTTGTAACCGGGACCGAATTTCCAGTATGGGATGAACTTCGGGGGATTCTTTTTTGGGACGCGGACGTTTGAAATTTCTCTGACGTAAATCGCCCTCAGATTTGCCGCCGATTGGTTTTCTAGCATGAAGAAGCATATCTCATACAGTCGTTCTAAGTCCATAAAAGGAGTGACGATGTACACCTCCGTGGAAGACTCGGAGAACCACCGCTGCAGAAGGGACTGCCACACTGGGTATATGTCTGTTCGGCCATTCACGAATCGTCCGATTGATATTTCTTCTGGCGTCTTGATCTTTTTCGCTTCCTTTAAACAATACAAGTGCCATTTGGAACATGAACCATACTCTTTCTCAAACATGTTCCTAGATGGTAAATTGATATTAATTACACGAAATCCTTATACTTCTCATTAGCTATAATTGTTATTTATGTTAAACACACCGGCAAGAAACTGAAAACATGTTAAACATTTTATCTTCATCACCTACATTGTTTCTTTCTGTTACAATAGTGACGGGTCATCATACTTACTAACTCTGAGGAGTGACTTTCTTTTGTTTTGGACTTCTTGGTTTTTGCGACATTCTTGGTGTTGTCACTTCCGCTATCGAGTTTCCGTTTGATAGGCCTGTATTAAATAAAAAGATATTTACAATTGTTTCATAATTAATGTTTGTACAGTACTATCAAAGCAAGTACGTTGGTCTGTATAAAAAGAAATTCCGGAAAAAATCAAGTTCTATGGCAAGGGAGATAACCGCGATAACTTTACCAAACGGATTTGATGCCAGTACATGTGCTGCATGTATTAAAAACATGCGCCTGCTCATGCTATTCTAAGAGCCTCCCACGCGCGTTCGTATTGCAAATATTATCAAGTTTGTAGTGTAATTGTTTTAAACGAATAAAATTTGTGGAAAGAAGGAACCGTCTTCCATAATGTATATATCTAAAACACTTTTGTATACATCGACATTAAATGAGCCTACCTAACAACTGGCTCAACGTCCAGATACCATCACATCAACTGTGAACTCGGCTTGATGGGGAAATTAAAACGATGCATCACGTGACCATTATTTTATACACAAAGAGACAATATATACAGCTAAGGTACTTCAAACAATTGGATGATGTAGGGGGCGCTGATTTAATCGAAATATATAATTTTCATCAATAAGTCCTTATCGTCGTTATATATTTAGCCATAATACTCGCATCTAAGTTATTTCTTTTTTCCTTTTTCTTACTTTTTTCTGGTAAATATTGTGTGTTTTGTTTTGTTTTTTAGTTGAACTTTTCTCCATTTCTGATTTTTTTTTAATCTATAAACAACGCTACCATTTTTAAATACCCGAATCTTCAGGCTTAATGTGTCATCAATCTGTATGCTTTGTTACTTCCTTTGTTCCCTCCTGCTTCTCTTTGCTCCTCCACTCTCGCCCTCTGTCTGTCCATCTGCTTGCCCCCCACCCCCACCCCCC